CATTTGTACTTATGTTTGTTAGCTTTTCTTTTTCTTTTTAAAGAAAAGGAAAATTACGTCTCATAATTTTCTCCTACATGTGAACTTTATTGTATTTAGTTTTAGCAATTATGTCTGATTGATTTGAATTAATATTTGTGCATGGTATGAAATATGGGTCCTGTTGCATTTTTTTTTACAAGTGTATATTGAATTTTGTCAGCGTCATTTATTAAAGAAACTGTTTCTTACCCATTGAGTGGAATTTGCCCTTGTTAAAATTAATTTTCCATAACTGTAGTCAGGCCACTGTTTCAATCAGATGATGCTTGCAAAAGTTAAAGATGATCATACTGCATCAGGTCAGATGACAGTTCACCTGCCTGCCTCCTCTCTTGAACCTTTTATTCAGCTCTTCTCCTAGTTCGCATTTACTCCACGTTTTTATCCTTTCCTCTGAAACTCAGGATTGTCATCGTGTCTGTCTCAATTGGTCTTTCATGTCTTTGTTGTAGAGGGTCTGTGTACTGCACTGCCTAATCTGCCATCTTGCCAGAAGTACTTATTCCTTATATTCATTTTGAGTCCATTACATCTGGACTTAGGTGAATATCCATAAATGAATAGATTTATTTCTGGGTTCTCTATTCTTTTCCATTCATCTGTGTATCAATCATTAAACAAACATCCAACTGTCCTCTCATTCTTTTCTTCAGAATTTCATATTTCCAATTATTTGGAAGGCTTATGTTGCTCACTTGTGCCATAATCCAGATTCTCAGTCCAGTTGTAGGTATTTCTACTCTTGTGGAAGAACTGTATTTCATTTTTGTGCTTTGCATTTTAAATTGTATACTATTTTAACTTGTATCCCAGTTCTGGCCAATTTAAGGATGTGCTGAGGGAAAAAAATGCACAATGATAAACCACTCTTTCTGTATGCTTTGGACTCAAAATGAGATGGCCAACTCCTAGTCATAAAAGGAAAGCCTAATGGAGGGCAGAGAAGTTAACCCAAAGGTCTTTATTAATCAGCTCAGCATGCTTACCTCTGTACTTTCTGTAATATGAGAAGATAAATATCATTTCTAATATGACATTTCTATTACTTACAGTGAAAATGGCACCTTACAACAACAACAACAACAGTGAAAACATTCTCATAAGCAGTGATACATAAAATACAAGCCATACAAACACTGACACATAACATTTATTGTGTTTTTTCTCATTACAAATGCAATATATGTTCATTTTGAAAATATTCATTATAGGAATTCACAAGGAAGAAAGTTAAATAATATTTTATCATTCAGAGATAACTACTCACATTTTTGGCATATATTCTTCCATAGTTCTTATACATGCATTTGTGTATGTTATATATGATTTTAAAGACTGGAATAATTGTTACAAATTTGATTTTTTACTTAACATCCAAGCACAAAAAAATGATAGGCAATATTAAATTGAACTTTATTCTTTTATTTATTGTCATATGGACACAATTTATAGTAATTAGATAAGCCCAAAGCATTGGTTTAACATTTGAAATCTGACCAAAATTAAATAGATGAAAATTTAAAGAATGCTTTAACTGCCTTAATGAAATACTATCTCTTTGTGACTACCAAGCAAGTTGGAGACTAGGTCACATTCAAGAAATTTGTAACTCATTTACACTGACTTAATCTCCCTGGAAAAGTCCTGGCGTGGCATTGTGGATTAACGTACCAGACTGCAAAGCCATTTGAACTGCAAGGTCGGTGGTTCAAAGCTCACCAGCTGCTCCTTGGAAAACCTATACTATGGGTCAGAACTGACTTGATGGCACTTAATAACAACAGTCTCCCTGGAAGATAGGCTTATGATATATGGCCCTCCCCTCCTGTTCATAGGGTATTTTTAACATGTGATATCTCTATTTCTTATACTGAAATTGAATTAGTGTAATCTTTGTTCAGTTCATTGTCATTAATGTCACTACTTTATTAAATTGAATTGCTGAAAGCAAAATTTTTTTAACCAGTTTTATAGACTAAATAAAGGTGACAATCATGATAGAATCTTAGCTATCTGTTATATTAGATTTATTCTACAGACCAAAAAAACAACAAAATGAAAACTACTACCATTGAGTTGATTCCAACTCATAGTACCCTATAGGAAAGAGTGGAACTGCCCCATAGGGTTTCTAAGACTGCAAAATTTTACAAAAGCAGATTGCCACACTTTCTATTGTAGAGTAACTGGTAGGTTCAAGTTGCTGACCTGTTAGCAGCTGAGTGCTAAATCATTGTGCCACCAAGGTTCCTTTACGCTGCAGAACACTTTGCTGTTCCCAACAAACCTTCTTTTATTATGATTGGAAATAGAGAAAATGTCTGTAATAGCAAATATAAAATACTTTTTGGTAAGTGGTGTATCTTTAATTCAATAGCCACATTTTCCTTTTGGACTATGAATTTTAGTTTAAATCGACATCTACATTATAATTCATGGGCCATAGTATTTACATTATACCTTTAACTGAAATGCAATTTCTAGATTGAAAAGGATGATTAGGCTAATTGAAATAATCCAGTTTCAATATTAACATTATTATGTTGTTGTTAACTGTCATCCAGTTGATTATGACTCATAGTGACTTTGAGTAGGGTTTCCAAAGAGCAGTTGGTGGGTTTGAACTGCTGACCTTGTGGTTAGCAATCTGGTGTCTATCCTAGAGTACCATACCAGGACTCTAAACATTATTATACATGTGTAAAAACAAATGAATACATTTTGATATATTTTTATTGCAAAATGTTCTTATAAGTATGTAAAACTGACAGGAGTTCTTCAACATTCTTTGTACCAGATTGCCTTTAGCAATGTGGTGTCATACTTTCTTCAGGAGAGTGTTTAAAAATACATACAATAATACAATCAGGACTAAAGAAAACAAATTACATTGAAATGTAGTTTTGTGCATGAACCATAGATTACGGACTTCTGTATCAAAAATTTGAATAGCCCTTTAGTTAATGTATCAAGATATACCTGAGAAAATATCCAAGTATGATAGTCTTTTGGCTGTATAAGAAACGAGCTTACACACATTCAGCAAACACATATGTACTAAAGCCCTTAGATTGTTTCCTGTATATGTGTTATTTTTGCCTTTAAATCTAGTGGAAAGTATTAGAATACGTAGCTAAATCTAGAGAAAGTAATTTAGGAATAGTAGGGGAATTTGTGTTATCTACATTCCTGTGTCATCTAACGAGATTCTTGGTTATCAATATTCATGCCTTGAAAGTTAACTTTTCGCATTTTGTTGTTATGTGCCATCGAGTCAGTTCCGACCCATAGCGACCCTGTATAGGGTTTCCGAGGGTGTAAATCTTTACGGGAGTAGAAAGCCTCATCTTTCTCCTGCGGTGCAGCTGGTAGTTTCGAACTGCTGACCTTAAGGTTCGTAGCCCGATTCATATAGCACACTATAAACTTTGAGCCTTGCTCATTTTAGCTGTAGAGTTGGGCCATGGATTGGTTAATTGAAGGTGTGTTGATGTTGTTGTTAAGTGCAGTGGAGTTGTTAAGTGCCTTCTAGTCGGTTCTGACTCATCTGCATAGGATTTCTGAGGCTGTATTTCTTTATTGAAGCAGAAAGCCTTATCTTTCTCCCATGGAATGACTGGTAGTTTTGAACTGCTGACCTTGAGGTTAGCAGCCTGCACCGTAATCACAACACTACCAGGATTTAGTAAAAAAGGAGGAGATGAATGAAAGGGTAGAAAGAAGGAACTCAGTGATGACAGAGATAGACAGAATTGGAAAATAATACAAAATATCTAAAGAAACCAAAAAGAAAAGGAAAACGAAAGACCCACCACTACTCAAATAGCCATTTGCTTTCTGCAACTACGTTTCATCTTTTGTGTAGTACTACCTACCTCATGTGACTATAAAGATATTTTACCTGCTTTTTGTTTAATTCTTTAATTTCTTTTAACTCTCTTTTCTTGGTTTTCTTATTTAATGATTGTTACACTCCATTATTTCCATTCCCCTTTTCATGGAATGGATAGAAACAGGCCTGAAATAAAAGAGGTATTGTTTTGTAGTCATATTTTTAAAAGCATCCTACTTACTGTGAATACAAAGGAGTGCTGGCTTCAAATTTACAGTCTTTCTTTTTTTTCTAGTACTCTCTTTTGTCTTGTAGGGCCTGTATAGATTGAAACGACATTTTTTTCCCCCCAGAACTCTTTTTTGTGCATCAAATATCTTTTTGCTTGTGTATAACTCTTCGATTCCATGTTGATTTTTTCAGTAATTATGGATTATAAAATCAGAAAATAGAAAAGAATCCCCCATATTATTAATACATATTGAATATTATGTGTGAAACTTAGCCAGTATAAGTTTTTTTTTTTAAATAATAAGATTTAAAAGTACTCTTATTATTTTCACAGTTAATCCCCATAAGGTTCTTAGACTGTACAGCTAGAGGAATGTCCTGAACCTTTCTCTACATCCTAATCCCTCTAAATCCTTTATATAGAGGTAGTTCACAACCTGTACCATATAAAAATGGCTCTAGAACTACTCAAATGTCCTGTCACGTTGGTGAAGTAGTTGATAGGATTGTTTGTTTTAGAAAACAGAATTACATTCATTGCATGGATTCTTTTTAACCAAAGGAAGGAAACTTGATTTTATTGTTAGGGAAATACTCTGTCTTCTTATATTACTGTAACAAAAAATTGTAATTGCTTCCAAGCCCCTTTTGAGAAAACTCTCCAAGGCATGCTGAGGGTAGGACCACAACCTTACTTTTAGGCATCTCTTTACTATAGACCATGGTTATGTTAGATATTAAATACTGTTATACAAGGGAAAAGTTATGAAAAGCCTAAGTAATGTACTTAAGAAATCAGGAAGAGCAGAGATTCGTTCAGAAACTTGTTGATTAAAAAGAAACATTTCTCTTTTTTCTGACAGTTTTTCCTTAAAGTTAGGATTTTGAGAAAGTGGTTTCTAAAAAAATAAGGATGGTAAATTAGCCTTAAATCCTGTCTTATTTGCATATAAACATGCTGTACCTATTGGGTTTGTCATTCCCAAGTGGGGAAATTCGTTACCTTGCTCTTTCCTTATATAATTTCTGGTGTAGTCTATCCATTACAGAGAGAAGTATCCATATATAAGTGGATCAAAGCATGGATTTAAAAGTGCAAAAAGAAAGAAGAAGTGATTTACTGGGTCAGATACCTTGTTTAACATTTCAGGATCAAACCAGTACCAAATTCCTAAGACGTAGTAAGGAGTCCAGCAGACAGTAAATGAAGTGGCAAACACAACCGTCATCTTTAGTGTCCTTAGCCGTGCTCTTGGTATATTGCTCTTGGATTGATTCAGTTGTAGTTCTATTAGAGAAAACAGTAGGTTTTGAATGACCATTTTTTCCGTAAAATCAAAACAGACAAAAAGGAAGACAAAATCACTAATTCAACCTAATAAATTATGATATTTTAAATAATGACAATTTGTTTGAAATGCATGTTTTTATTCCAAATTTTCTACTGTCACATAATGAACAGAAAAGATTAAAGGTGACAGTGCTCTGAAAAGTTAAGCTTCTACTAAACTTAATTTTTATTTGAAGTATACCAAGCCCAACCCATTGCTGTTAAGGAGCTCTCTGGTAGCTAGTGGTTACGAATCAGGCTGCGAACCTTAAGGTCAGCAATTCGAAACCAGCCGCTCCATGGGAGAAAGATGAGGCTTTCTGCTCCCGTAAAGATTTACAGCCTCGGAAACCCTGTACAGGGTCACTATGGGTCGGAACCAACTTGATGGCACTTAACAAAAACAACTCATTGCTGTTAAGTTCATTCCAATTCATAGTGACCCTGTAGGGGACAGAGTAGAACTGCCCCGGAGGCATTCCAAGCTTATAAATCTTTAAGGAAGCCAACTGCTATATCTTACTCCTTTGGAGGGGTTGGTGGGTTTGAACTGCCAATTTTTGAAATATAAGGGTACTTAAACTCTTAAAATAGAACTTTGAAAGAATTGGCAAATGTTGAGCTTAGTTGCTTACAAAAATATTGCGTTCTCTATATGAGTATCTCTGCCACTAAGTACAATAAAGATTAAAATCTATGATTTCATGCATAGATAAAAGTGTGTTGCCCAAAATTAGCTACATTAATTGTATGATTTTTTCTATTAAGTCTAAAATTATTTAATTTTTCATTCAATTTGTTGTTGTTAAGTGCCATTGAGTGGGTTCTGACTCATAGTGAACCTGTATATAGTTTTCGAGGCTGTGAATATTTGCAGGAGCATGAATACATCCCTTAAAATTGATAGATTACTCCTCATGTGAATAAATTCATTAGTCTTTAATGGAATTGCTGATTTTAACAATCATTCTGCTTATTTAATGTTTATGACTTAATTTTTAAAGGTGAAATTCTGTTTTGAGTGCTCAAAATTTGTTATTGTATTTCATAATCAGAATGTTGTTGATGTTGTTGTTATATGCCATGGAGTTGGTTCCGACTTATAACGACCTTGTACAGGGTTTCCAAGGCTGTAAATCTTTACTGGAGCAGAAAGCCTCATCTTTCTCCTGCAGAACAGCTGATAGTTTATAACTGCTGACCCTGAGGTTAGCAGACCAATTCGTAACTACCAGGTTACCAGAGATCCTTTAATACTATTGTAAAATAAAAAATACTGTTCACACACTGTATTTTTTTTTGAGGGAAATAGACTATGTTATTAAGAAGCAGTCATGTTGTAACATTTTATTCATTGATCACCCAAGAGTAGAAATGTGAAGGAAAACATTACATGAATGATGTTTTAATTATAAAATTAATTTTTGACTAGGAATTTTAAAAAATAGGTAGCTTATTGAACAGGTTATGGGTTTATGGTCAGATAGGCTTTATTAGCATTTACTAAGTGCTTTTCTTTTTTTCACACATTTTATTTCTCAATATCTATGAGCCTAGGTAACGTTGTTATTGTTAAGTGCTGTTGAGTTGGTTCTGACTCATAGTGACTCTGTATAGTGTTTCCCACTAGCAGCTGGTGGGTTTGAACCACCAGCCTGTGGTTAGCAGCCCAGTGCTTAATCTATACCAGGACTCCAAGTAACATAGAAGTAATAAATAATTAATGGGAGTTGTTATTGTTAAGTGCCACCTAGCGGATTCTGACTCATATAACCTGATGTAGGATTTCCAAAGAGTGGCTAGTATGTTTGAACCACCGAGATTGCAGTTCAAACCTAACTCTGAAAGAATAGAGACTTTGCAACATGTTGCGATTCTTGTCCTCTTTTGACTATCATCACACTTGATTATTGTTTTATTGTTTTCTGTCTGGGCATCTCTGGGCAGCACAGATGGTTAAGTGCTAGACTAGTAACTGAAATGTTGGTCATTTGAGCTCACCCAGAAGTGCCTTAGACGAAAGGTCTGGTGATCTGTTTCCAGCCTTAAAAATCTTATGGAGCGCAGTTCTGCTCTGCAACACTTGGGGTCACCATAAATCAGAATGTAGTCAATGAAAACTCAGTGACAAGTTTTGCTGAACTGTAAACTCTGTAAGAGCAGATCATTATTAGACTTGGTTTATTCACCGTGGTATCTCCACCATGCACTTTTTCAGCAATAATGAGTGGTCAGTATATATTAGTTGACTAAATTAAAGATTAATTGAATAGATTTAGTATTGTTTTTAACTGTTGCTTTCTGTCTCTTTTCTGTTTCTATGCTTTTCTACACTACTCACATTCCTTAATCTCTCTCTACTAGGGATTTTTCACTTGTCTGTCAGTTTGTGTGGTTTGTGTGTTGCTGTGATTGCTTGAAGCTATGCCACTGGTACTTTGAATAGGAGCAGAGTTACCCATGGTGGACAGGTTTCAGCTGAACTCCAGACTAAGAAGGACTAGGAAGAAGGAGCACTGGACTACTTCTGAAGTGTGAGTAACAGTGGAGGAGCATTGGAGCAGTGGAGCATTGCCAGATATAGTGCTTAGAAGATGAACCCCTCAGGTTGGAAGCTACTCAAAATATGAAAGAGCTGTCTCTTCAGTACAGAACTGACCATGATGATGCAAATAGAGTAAAGCTTTCAGGACCTACATTTGCTGATGGGGCACAAATCAAAATAAGGAGGGACAGCTGCAAAAATCCATTAATAATCGAAATGTGGAATATATGAAATATGACTCCAGAAAAATTGGAAGTAGTTCAAGAGGAGGATTAGTGAAAAGATGGAGAGCCCCAGCGAGATGTATTGGCAGAGTGGCAGCAGCACTCAAGTGTAACAGTTGTGAGGATGGAGCAGGACTAGGCAGTGTTTTGTCCTTTGTGTAGTGTGTGGGTAGGAGTTGGAACCAACTCAAGGATACCTAACAACAGCAACATTTGGGATTTATGTCTATTTGCTTTTTATCTTACATAGTCCCATTATAAGTGAATTTTGATGATTTTGAAGGCAAATTGTTTTTGTAGGATACTTTATTGGAAATATCAATTATTGTTTTATGCTGGCAGTATGAAAACTTCCCAAGTACCTGTAAATAGAGCACCATCATAATTATATCTTTTTTGAAATGATCTGCTAAGTGAGCACACTGTAGTAATTAAAATGTTTTTCCTGTTAAGTTGTAACAGCTATAGCTTATGTACTATGCTATTGTCATTTGGATGTCACACCAATATAGCTATGTTTCCTTTATAAAGTCATAAATTTACATTTTGGGAAATACATGTAATTACTGAAACAAAAGAGGCACAACTACATCTGTGAAATTTTGGATACAATAGTTACATATGCAACGATTTTGCATACTCAATTCACACATACACACATATGCACATGGTTCTTATGCGGATATAGGAAATTTGACTATGCAATAGAATAGCTTACTTTTAACAAATTACTGGCTAGCAGTTAGCAGTTTATGCTTTGTTATATTCTAGAAATTGGGTGCTTAATAATAGTGTGGGTGGTGTAAATGGTTACCACACTGTTGTTAGCTGCAAGGTTGGGGTTTCTAGTCTACACAGAAGTTGATTGGGAGATAGGATTGGCAGTCTACTTCTGAAAACTCAGCTATTGAAAATCCTATGGCTCAAGTTCTCTGATACCCAGAATTGACTGGACATCAATGCATCTTTTATTTACTTATGATCCAGCAAGAACAGTTTGTTAATGCTTATCCTCCATGGTGTAAATTTATAACAGCAGGAGATATTAAATTTCCTCATCTGTAAATTAGGGATAATAAAAGTACATACCTCAGGAAGTGGTTATGAATATTAATATATATGAATTGCTTACAACAGTACCTAGTATGTAGTAAATGACATTCAGCTTTAAGTATTGCTCTTTAAAAACTGTTTACCCACAATTAAGACTAAATCCCATGAATACATACTGTGGGGGTCCTGATGAAGTACTTGTGTCAGAGCGAAGATGATTTTCGCATTGCATATCAACATGATGAGAAGAGGGATGATGAAGAGGCAACTGAAGGTGAAAAAGTTGTAAGAGGCTTGATGCCACCACTGTGGAAAACTGCAGTGTGTTGCACATTGAGAGAAAACATCAGTCTGTTCAGAGCTGTCTGCTACATGGATCACTCTGAAGATGTATAACTGTAGGAGAAAATGAAAAACTAAAGTTATATTACTTTTTGCAAACAATGCTTGCATGCCTTCTTGAAAATTTCTGCCCTATTTTGGCCTGGCTCTTTGGCATCGTCCTTTTGGCATTTCTAGAAAGAAGTATTAATGGATGTTTCCTTAAAATATATTTGGGTAAGTGTGAATGTGACTCTATAGGATTTTAAGTTTCTGGAAACTATTTTACACTTGTTGTTGTTAAGTGCCGTTGAGTCCGTTCCAACCCATAGTGACCCTGTATAGGATTTCCGAGGAGTGGCTGGTGAGCTTGAACCTCCAATCTGTGGTTCAAACTGACCTTGCAATCTAGTGCCTTAGCCCATAGCACCACACCAGGACTCTACTTGCAGAATGATTAACAATTAAGGATTAAAATCTTGTTTGCATTTTCATTATCAGTTGAGGAACCGACTCCACAGCACTTAACAACAGCAATAAAAGCCTCAAACTGTGCTTGGCACTTAGAAAGTGCTAAACAGAACGCATATATAAATTTATTTTAGAGACAGAAAAATCCACTAAAATGTCCTTATTTAAAAAAAAAACAAAAAAGGCAAAAGACGTGAACAAATCTTTCCTACACAAAAAAAGAGATATAAAAATGACCCGTAAGTATATGAAAAGATGATCAAGCTCGTTCTAGATAAGCTATATTACAAGTAAAGCTGTACTGAAATGCCATTTTTCACTGTAAGACTGACCAAAAGTTAAAAGTCTAAAACATTCTGTTTTTAAGCCTAGGGTTCTCCAGCTTCTCTCCTCCATTGGTAATGAGAATGTAAATGACACAACCGTTATGGAGAGGAGTTTGGCAATAACTAGCACAACTACATATGAACTACATTTGACTCAGAAATTCCACTTCCAGGAATTTACCTACCTCATAATACAAATAGATATACAGACAAGTTTATTCATTGTAGTAGAAAAGTATAAAAAAATAGCCTAAACGCTAAGTCATCAAATACTCACTGCCATCAAGTCGATCCCAACTCTAGTCACCCTATATCAGATAGAGTAGAACTACTATGCAGGGTTTTCAAGACTTAATCTTTATGAGAGCAGACAGCTTCATAGCTCTCCT